ACATTGGATCGTCTGCAATCTTAACTTTGTATTGACGGCACGTAGCGGTGTTTCAATACCAGTGTATTCACATTCTACGTTCATTCTTTTATGAATAAATTAAATTCTACGGTGACATCGCTACATATGTAGGAACCTGCAGTATTCTTTACTTGGAAATGCCTACGGGTAGTGATAGGTGTTTCGAGTTGCTATCAGGAATGTTTTATTATCAACTTTGTGGTTTGATTTCTGTGAGTTTGATCGTCTTTTGCGGGAAAAAATGATTCGCTGTAGTGTATGCAATTCACAAATAATGCATGGACTTATATCGTTAGGCGTTTAACGTTTCTTAGAACATACAAAGTAACAATAATAATGATAATGTTTTAATAACAATATTATCAGGATTCGAAATTGATTGATTGCAACATTTCCGGAGTTTCTCCATGGTCATCGTTTTTTTTTATTCTGTAATACAAGCACTTCGAATATTACCGACCATTCAGAGGGCGAAAATTTACCCATAACATCGCTAGTGCACACATAACAATGTTTAGGAGCTCTATAGGCTTGATTGTTCTCTCACAGATTTTCCAGGAGGCGCGGTGAGAGGAGACCCTAGGCTGGTTCGCCCAGGTGCTGGCAGATGTGGCGATGGTATACGGGCTTACAGCATCCATTGTTACTTCTGCTGCACTGGGGTTCCTAATGGGGACCGATGTCAAAGTCACGATATGGGCCTACGTCATGCATCTCCGAATGATATGGGTGTACAGAAAACTCGTCGCAAGCGGGACGTTGGAGGGACGGGTGGACCAGAAACCATCGTGCTGTCGGATGATCGAATTCTGGGCAGTCTTGGTTTCTCTAACGATCCTCGCAATAGTATTGTACGTCCTGTACTTCTTTTACTTTTTTTCCGGCTGGTACGCCTTTTTGAAATGCATACCAAGTTCTTTTAAGGACTCACTCGCTTAAATAATTGTGCTAAAAATTAGGGATGGAGCTTGCCTAGAAGAAACATGTACAGCGTAAAGCTTTATTGAATAATGTATTGGTAGAATAAGAAGGCGTGCATTGTAAAAGTGTATGACCAACAGTGGCGATTGATAGTTAATGCTTGTGCTACGCGAGAAGTAACGTGGCATGATTAACTCCAACTATTCAATTCTTTATTTCCATAATTAGGAGAAACAGCCGAATTTTATTCATGAGCAGTGAAGTCCGGCACCCACATCAGTGGTATTAACTTTAACAGTAGCCAAAGTCAGTAATTCATACACAAGTGCCTTTTGAAAGAATAATGGCTATCCCGTCTGATTGCTTTAACGGTTCTCAAAGGAAATATTCCTTTTATTTCAATATAAATATAAGTCAGAACCTAGAATGAATCCTAGTAATGGCTTGTTTGTCATACAGAACATTGTAAGTCCGTTTTTTACAAAAAATGTAAAAAAAACACCTATTGAGATCATGCTAGAAACGTTAGTGCGCACACAAATGTGTAGAAACGAAAAAAAAGGCAAGACATAATGATGTTTCTTTTTTTAATTTTCGTCTGTGTGTGTTGTATCGTTTACAAGCCGAAACAACTTGCCTACTAAGCCGACTTTTCGATAATGGCCGTCAAAGTGATTCGGAAGGATCTTTTAACCTCAGTATATTGATTCGATATCTTGTATAAAGTTAGTTAACATTGTAAAAACATCGAGAAAGGACAATTGCCCCGCCGTGGTGGTCTAGTGGCTAAGGTACTCGGCTGCTGACCCGCAGGTCGCGGGTTCGAATCCCGGCTGCGGCGGCTGCATTTCCGATGGAGGCGGAAATGTTGTAGGCCCGTGTGCTCAGATTTGGGTGCACGTTAAAGAACCCCAGGTGGTCTAAATTTCCGGAGCCCTCCACTACGGCGTCTCTCATAATCATATGGTGGTTTTGGGACGTTAAACCCCACAAATCAATCAATCAAAGGACAATTATTAGCACTCAACTCTTTCATTGCACGCCTAGAGAATGTGGGTCAGCGGTGAGGCGCACGAGCTGCGCGAGGATTTGAAAATACAGAGCGTTTTTGTAAACTTGTTGCGCCACGCATCAAGATCTGTAACCGCCAATGTTTCCAGCATACTCATATTCGTGCTAGATGGGCGATTTTCCACAGTGACTCAAAGATAGCGGATTGCTTGCTTTGCTCGTGAAGATTAGCTTGCATTGACTTGTGTTTATTTGCAACGAGGTTGCGAAGATGACCAGGCAAAAAAAGCTGCCTTCAGAAGCTTGTGGGGAACCTAGCCTCCTTATACGCTGTGTAGCTTTACAGTGATAAAAAAAAAACATAGAGTATACATATTGCATGAAATAACTAAAGAGTCGACAACCATGGTCTTATTTACTAAACAAGGTGATCGTGGAAGCATTTCGCCTACGACCCCGCTCTGAGACCCTTTTCAAAATTGCTTTTGAACGCCTACTGTGCTTAGTAGCACAAACACATTCGAAAATTTATTACATGCTGAACTTGCAGAGATCGTTCCACCTTGCTCGATATTCTCGGACGCCCCGCCTTGGCATGATCTAGTGGCCAAGGTACTCGGCTGCTGACCCGCAGGTCGCGGTATCGAATCCCGGCAGGGGCGGCTGCATCTCCGATGGAGGCGGAAACGTTGTAGGCCCGTGTGGTCAGATTCGGGTGCACGTTAAAGAACCCCAGGTGGTCGAAATTTCCGGAGCCCTCCGCTACGGCGTTCCTCACAATCATATGGTGGCTTTGGGACGTTAAACCCCGCAAATCAATCGATAGTCTTGGACATTACGATGTAAAGCCTTTGTTGTGGCTTACGTGTTTAGAATACTTTTATTGCAGGATGTGAAGCCGTACTTCCGGTTGTTTTGGTTCTGTCTTTGGTGTTAACTCTTCGTATCTGTACTTTTTCTGTGCTCCTATTAGGTATGGTTAGCTAGCTTACATCTGGCCAAGTAGATATAAATGTTTTCATCTTCATTATATCCAAAGTATTGCTGTGTTATGAGCATTACACTTGAAGAAAAAAGATAAACTGATAACTTGGACGAAATATGCAGTTTTTGCTTGCCTAAACAAAAAAAAATGTTAACGTAACGTACTTTTATATCATAACTTTCCTCTGATGAAGATCTTGAGCAATCATTATCGGCATTTTCGATTGTTTTTCGCTTTTCTATTTTCATCTGAGAGCACAATATTGGAGACATTTGATGCAACGGTCAGTAAATGTTGTTTTTCAGAAATATTTATAATACTTCCAATATGTTTTTAAAATTTGTACCTTTGAAAAGTGTAATTACATTAGCTTTGCTTGATGTATTAGAATATTAGGTTATATCTCTAACTTACAAGAAAAAATATTTACTCAAACCATAAAGACCGTTCATTTTTTTCTCACAGTAGCGGCAGACTCTACTATTTGGTGCCCTATAACGCATACTTTACTCGGTTGCGCAGCTTACATGTCCGTGTCAAGCTTTCTGCAAGCGGTGTCATCTAGAAAGCTGGGCACCGCCACATCACTGTGATCTGGAGCTGACTGGAGACGGGATATTGCAAGAGGTGGCTGAAGTATATAGTGCAGCGTTCAATAAAATTGCCATAACCTCACAAGTACCTTTCCCAAATCCTTCAGCAAAAGCCCAGATTTCCATTCATCTACTGTCTACGAAACTGGAAACGACAGACATTGCAAGTCTTGCAGCTGTTTCGCTGCCCATAATTCATTGCCCCCTGAACTCGCATATGCGTCGAATCTATTTAAAGAGCAAAACCATAGCGATCCAATTTCTAAGCGTTTGCGGCGCTTCCAGCTGGTGGCCCTTGAGGCGAACATTTTCGCATTGGCTCCGCACGCGAATCTAATTCGCACTAAGTGATTTTTACGAGAAATCAAAATTTCGTACAGAACAAGGAATCGTTCTTAGCGGGAGAAGCTGCTTATCTTATTATACGATAGGAAGGGTGACCAATGATCGGCGCCCCGTTACACGCAGTATAGGTAAGCACTTGTGGTTTGCGAAGATTTGCGACTTGAGCATGGGAGAGGCCCCTGTACTGCAGTGGGCGTAGCCAGACTGATGATGATGCCCCGCCGCGGTGGTTTAGTGGCTAAGGTACTCGGCTGCTGACCCGCAGGTCGCGGGTTCGAATCCCGGCTGCGGCGGCTGCATTTTCAATGGAGGTGGAAATGTTGTAGGCCCGTGTGCTCAGATTTGGGTGCACGTTAAAGAACCCCGCGTAGTCGAAATTTCCGGAGCCCCCCACTACGGCATCTCTCACGATCATGCGGTGGTTTTGGGACGTTAAACCCAACACATGAATCACATCAGACTCGTGATGATGACTTGATCAAGGCCTCCTCTATTTTTTTCAATACCATCCGAATGCGCCCGTTCCAGCCGTTTTCCACCCTCTGCTATCTAATTCCTACCTTAACATGTGTTTTTCGCTCATGGAGCTTTGCGTTAATAGCGCTTTTCGTTGATGGGGGAGAGGAGCGTTAATGCAGTGCCTTACGACGAAAATCATATGGAGTAATTTTTCGATCAATTGTGGACAAATCTGTGGGGCAGCGTCTTGCATCCCACGTGTTCACAATCTTGTCAGTGTTGCGCAACGTGGCTAAGGTACTAGGCTGCCGACTCGCAGATCGCGGGGTCAAATCCGTGGCTGCGGCGGCTGCGTTTTCAGTGAATGTGAAAATGATGTAGGTCCGTGTGTTCAGATTTGGGTGTGCGTTAAAGAACCCCAAGTGGTCGAAATTTCCGGAGTCGTCCACTACTGTGTCTCATGATCATATGGTGGGTTTGGGACGTTAAACCCCACATATCAATCAATCAGACTCAAAGACAATGGATTCAAGCCTGGGAATAAATGCCGGAAGCGCCGATGAAGTGTTCGTAGGTGGGAGCGCAAATAAAATTATGATCTGCAATGACAGGTGGTTTGCTATAGCGCGTTGGTGCAGGAACTGAAATCAAAACGCCAGCGATCGACGTAGAGTGGTAAAATCTTTATTTGTCAGTAAATACATAAAAGAAGGCACGAGAGCTTTTCATGGAAGCGACATGCCCGATACAGTTGTGCGTCTATGCCGTTATTAAAATTTCCTTGTTTAGCGATAGGCAGGCTTTGAGTCCTACTATAAGATGAGCGGCGGCTTAGTCTAGAAATGGTATAGGTTATGATTGCTATAGCACGAACTCACGACAACAACCAGTTAGCGCTCGTCTTCGTGTACCCTCTGTCCTCGCGAGTTGTGCTATAACATTCATCATGACCTACAAAGAGAGATCCAGGCTCGAAACACTTCACAAAGCTGTGCGGCAGTCGTGAAGTATATGGGAGCGGGTACATGTTTCTTGCGTTGTTCTGTGCGTATCCAAATGTCGCGGGGAGATATTGAGCTCTGGAAGTCAAGGCGAGGTGTCTAGCGGGTTCTTTCACAGGATGTCCAGGCACTTGCCAGATCTTTGTTTGCGTACTTGCGGCGTGCGACATCGTAGACACCACAAGCGGAGGGATACGTGCGTCGTGTCGGTGTCTTCTAATTACAGATGTAATCCAAAGGCAGAACTGTCAGTTGTACTTCTTGTGTCGGGGCCTCGACTGGGGTGAAGAAAAACAAATAGTTAACCACAACAAGGAACTCATCAATACATTCGAAATAACAAAAACTCCAAGTGGCTTAGGGAGACCGTCAGCCAATGTCAATCAGCAATAACCTTCATTTTTTCCAGGCAAAAAAGAAAAGACGTATATAGGGGCAGGAATTGGCAGTAAAGTGTTGAGCTCGCGCCACTGTCACTAAAAACGGAGCTATCTCGTATTGGTACGAAGTGACACATTCTGAGAGCGAAAGCATCCAACATCGCTCATTGGAAGGCGTCCCTGAACGTACTCGATGACGCGAAACGCATAGGCTATCACGTGACCTACGTGTCACAAGCTGCGCGTTAGCTTTGTTGACATTGTATTTACGTCGCGCACGCGATTAAAAAAAACTGTACTTGCGCGAGCCTACCCCTGAAAAAGGGGGGAAAACGAGCAGGAATGGTAGTCTGGTGGTTGAGGTGCTCGAGAACAGAACCAAAGATTACGCGATCGAGTCCCGGCCATGTGAGATGCTTGAGGATTGATAAATTTCATTAGATGCACCATAACGAAGATCAACTACGGCGTCCATCATAATCATATCGTCCATCATAATCATATCATAATGCACTTTTTTATAATTAGTTGGTGTTTCCATTGTATCACAATTTGTGTTATGTTGTATTCAACTATTGTATATGCCCTCCTGCTATGATCCCTTTGGGATTGGCAGTATTTACAAATAAATAAATAAATAAATAAATAAATGAATAAATAAATAAATAAATAAATAAATAAATTCTGGTGGTCAAGTCCTCAGAACCATTGTTAAAGCAGGACACAAAGTTAATGCATAAGATGAAGATAAGCTCCTGTTTATGGCTTTCACCTTTACGTCTTCTTACGCAAGCGCGTGGGAACCCCTACAAATTTCTCTTCCCGGACGGCACTACTCGTTACATGCTGGCGCATAACGTGCCCGGCCTGTTTGTTATGTCGGACTTAAACCACGTGTTACTACCTTCACTTTATCAGTGTACGTCATGAGTAACTATCGCTGATATGCCGGACACGAACGCAACGAAAACATTCTGCTGTGCCAACGAAGGTACACGTGACGTTTGAGTCACATGACCACGAGCTCTTCCCCTCCACAGCGCTGCCATAAGTTCCGCCGACTTGTTGTCGATCCCAGCCCTGGAAGCCGTAATGGTGGCTAACTAGTGAGAACCAGTGAGTAGCGCGGCGTAGTTTACTGGCTACCTCATGACGCTCACAAACAAATCACAACTTCACAAAAGAGTAGCGATACCTTTTTAAACTATTACCGGTCGTCGTGGATCTAACCAAACTGTTTCCTAAGAATAGACCTGAGTTTACTCTGCCGCTAGTGTCTATAGCAGCTCCAACGCATGTCACCTCAGTCAGTGGGACAATGCTGGGCAGTACACGGATTTGCCCAAGATTCACTCTTTCGGCTTCGCTTGGTTCCATAAGGCCCAGCTGGAGCCGCTGTATAGAAAGATGAAGTTCAGCAAATGTGGAGCCGTTTCAGTTACTCAACTGGACGTTTTAGTATTGCCAACTCAAACCTGCTTATGAAGACCACAACGGTTCATTTGTGTGGAACAAATTCAAAAACACAAAATAAACGAAGCTACAAGTGAGTCCGACGCCTGCAATTACGAAGACTACGCAAATACGCGTACTACCCAGTCATTCCTATGGTAAATGAGCGACCGCAGCGCCAGACTTCCCTCTTGTAAATATTGTAGGAAACTGCGCATCTAACAACTTCCGGAGCCAGCGAGTTTAATAGTTCATATAAGACTGTTCATCTGGTTCCCACGCCTAAACCACAATACGATCAGAAGACCCGCAGTAGCGAAGGACCGAGGCTCAAGTTTTTTTTTTATTTTTGCCATGGACGTTTCATTAAAAGACATCTAGGTGCAATCACGCTGGGGCTATATCAGTTTGCATCGGCTGAAATTCCCCATTATTACAAAACGCCACACGCGCTAAGGGACCATGGACCCGTAAGCGGGAATTCATAGATTGACACAGACGCACAATGGGCTTCACTAATGTACGTGCGTATACACAGTCGAGATTGGAAGTCGGCCTGCTCAGGCTGTCAACGGCAAAGAGTGGAAAAGCTGAGAATCACTTACTTTGCGTCTGCGCGGGCGAACCCTGGTCCGCCACTCCTTCTGGCTCGTCGTCAAAACGCCAAAACATTTGCGACAGATGACTCGGGTCTGACCGAAGCAAGAATCTGCCGCCGCAATCGTGGCGACCCGCCCAGATCACGCTGTCCAAGTCCCCGTATTGGCCCAGCATCAGTTCCACGCTTTGTCCGCGCAGGGCGAACTGCAAGGCGGTCGTGAGGGACTGCAGTTCCACGTTAGTCTCGGCGTACGCAGCCGCGAATCGCAGGCCCTCCCACAGGACCAAGAACATCACCCCGGATTTGAGACACTGGGGATCCAAGTCGCTGTTCACGATGCACGCGTAGTACGTTATGCTTATTTTCCTCGCACGGACGATCCAGTGCTGACCAGTCAGGGTGTGCAGCGCGGTCGCGCAGTCCGTGAAAAGTTTGTAGTAGTCGACCTGCATCGTGGTGGGGACGAAGCGAACGAGAAGCCACGGGCAAATCCTCTGCCTCGACAAGAGCCAGCAGTAGAGCCAGGCGACCCGCTGCAGGTCCGGAGAGGCTCCCAGAGATCGGCGTATTTCGTGAACAAAGCGTTCCGGTTGCACACCTTTCAGTCGCGGAAGCCAGTCCTCGTTCTCGTCGTCCAGGTACTTGAGCACGTCGAAGGGCACTCGCTCGATGTGTACGAACAGGGCCTCCACGATGTTGGCCGACATCCTGGTAGAAAAAAAGCAGGGGCTACCCGGAAAGATTTGAGTACTAACTGTGAATTTCCTTCCGTTGTAAGGTGACGCTAACTGTCAAGTGAGGCACAACAGCAGAACTGGTAGCTGCCGGCGAAGTTGATGATGGACGACCTTTTAAGCTGTGGCAGTAGCTGTGGACGACTCATGGGCGACGTTCGCTCGCGTAATGCAGCTGTCGCGTCGAGCGAGCATGATCGAGATATCAGCTATGACGACAGTTTTCAAGGAAATGGCACAAATTGTTATGGCAACGTTACTCTCTAGGTGGCCTTCCCATTTTGAAGCCTACAAGATAGACGCTATAAAGATAGGCAAGCACAGATAGAGCACTACGGCGTTCAGTGATATGAAAGTAAAGCTTGATGAACGAAGTCATACGGGCATGTCAAAGCCTTCTTGATCAACCATCGTGACCGATATATAAGAATGGCGAGTCGAATACAAAAATAATGACAAAGAAAAAAAGTTCTTCCGCTAGCCGAACAAGTATGCCAAATGTTCGGTGAGCCACCAAGATAAAAAAGATTCTAATTGTGAACAACATTGTTCATAATATTTGATGAAATGATCTTTGAAACGAGGTGGATCTATCAACCTCCTAGCCTGCTTTTTTTTTTGAAAAAAAAAGTTTTTCACGACACACGTTACTATTGCCGCATTGCCGCGGAATCCACGTTGCAAAAGAAGACACACAGATTATTGAGAAACAAAGTAACCAGAAAACATTCGGCGGATCCCACGTGTCTTGAGAATCCGTGATATGCGAAGCATGCACCAAAAAGTTTGCAACGTGGCACATTTTAATTAAGCGTAACGTCAGGAGGCGGACAGATGTAGTACTCAGCAAACATATGTAGAAGTTTTGAACGCGATCATGTAACTAAAAACCAGCAACTGCGAAAGCTCGTTTTCCATAGTTCCGTAACGACGCCGCACCTCCAAACGTGTGCACAACCAGCGCCAGCAGTGGCAGGCTGATATGCTACTCCTGTAGTATAGTCCTTGATGTTTCTTACACGAAGCTTGTGCTGATGCTTTCTTTTTTTGCTTGAAGCAAGTTTACGACGTGTGTCGACAAAAAGTGGTTTGGTTGAGTGACCGCTAGAGGCCGTATTCTAGGCAAATGCCTAATTTAATGATTGCATTGCTATCCGGCCAGTTTGATATATCAGCGTGAATTAGAGGTTAAGAAGGGCTATTAAAGTGTTTTTGTAGTGCCTATGCCTATTTTCGGCGTTAGTGTCTGAATTCCCCAAAGGTCCTGAAACGCCTATTTTAAAAATTATTGCCCGAATCAACGCTATTTGACAACGCGTTTTGGCATTCTCTGTTGCGTATTGGCCGTTTCTGTGGGATCGATTCCTCTGTGCGCGCACGTTTGGAGAGGATGGTATGGATCATGTATCCTAGCCAAGACACAAGACGTTGCACTACTGTAACTGCTCTGAGGGACGATGCACCAAAAACGCGCGAAGCGTTGTAAGGGCAAGCACAGACATGACGCGAGAACGGCGAGAACTTGAACGCAAACGAAATGTAGGCAGTTTAGTATCGCACCTCACTCGATTCGAAGTAGAATAATATTGTTACGGTGGCTGTTCTGTATCAATATAAATGCACACACATTCCACTTGTACATTTTAATACGCCTATCAACTTTCATTATTCGATTCAAGTAACAGAATGTACAATTTTCACATGTTTACTGATGCTTGAAATGGATATACATGTTTAACAACTGGGGACACAAAGTAACAACGCTAAACATTAATCGCTCACAGTGTACTTCGCGGTGTCTATGTTTTGTTGCCGTTGCATCTGACTGTTTTCAAAGCGACGCCAGCGAGTTTTTTTTCATCTGTGTAAGCAAATGACTCATCACTGGTCTTTCTGCCGCCAATAAACATAGTGTGAGCGCATTCTAGCTGATTTATCTTTGTGCGTGAACGTGAACTGTAGGTTAATGATGATATGCGGAGTTTAACGTCCCAAACCACCATATCATTATGAGAGACGCCGTAGAGGAGGGCTCCTGAAATTTCCACCACCTAGGGTTCTTTAAGGTGCACACATGAGCACACGGGCCTACAGCATTTTCACCTCGGGGAACTGTAAAACTAAGAGGTTTTAACTTGAAGGTTTCATACACGAATAGCTTACTCGCGAATTGCTGGAGGACAGATAATGTTAGAAAAACTAGCCGCACTGTTTACGAGGTGTCTCCTGACGGGAAGAGTACCAGAGTCTTGGAAGAATGCCAACATCATTCTAGTACATAAGAAAGGAGATAACAAGGACTTGAAGAATTACTGGGCGATCAGCTTGCTCTCCGTAGTATACAAGCTATTTACAAAGGTAATGACTAACAGAGTTAAGAAAACATTAGAGTTCTATCAACCAAAGGAACAAGCAGGATTTGGAACAGGCTACTCAACAATTGACCACATTCATACGATCAATTAGGTTATAGAGAAATGCTCAAAATATAGCCAACCACTATACATAGCCTTCATTGATTATGAGAAGGTGTTTGATTCAGTAGAAATATCAGCAGTATCAGGCACTGCGGAATCAGGGCGTCGATGAAGCATATATAAACATCCTGGAAGAAATCTACAGGGGATCAACTGCTACCATAGTGCTTCATAAAGAAAGCAATAGAATACCAATCAAGATAGTTTAAGGCAGGGGGATACATTCTCCCCAATGCTATTTACCAAGTGCTTACAGAAGGTTTTCAGAGGCCTAGAATGGGAACAGTTAGGTATAAGAGATAATGGAGAGTACCTTAGTAACCTGCGCTTCGCCGATGACATTGCATTGCTGAGTAACTCAGGGGACGAATTGCAACTCATCATTACGGAATTAGATAATGAGAGCAGCAAGGCGGGTTCTAAAATAATCTGCAGAAAACAAAAGTAATGTACAACAACCTCGGAAGAGAGCAGCGCTTCGAGATAGGTAATAGTCCACTTCAAGTTGTAAAAAACTATGTGTACTTAGGGCAGGTAATAACCGCGGAGCCGAACCACGAGATTGAAGTAACTAGAATAATAAGAATGGGGTGGAGCACATTTGGCACGCACTCTAAAATCGTGACAGGTAGATTGCCACTATCGCTCAAGAGGAAGGTATATAACAGCTGTATCTTGGCGGTACTTAGCTTCGGAGCAGAAACCTGGAGAATTACAAAGAGGGTTCAGCTTAAGTTGAGGACGACACAGCGAGCAATGGAAAGAAAAATGGTAGGTGTAACCTTAAGAGACAATAAGAGAGCAGAGTTGATTAGGGAACAAACGGGGGCTAAAGATTTCATAGTTGGAATCAAGAGGAGGAAAGGGACATGGGCCGGGCATTTAGCGCGTAGACAGGATAACCGCTGGTCTTTTAGGGTAACTAACTGGATTCCCAGAAAAGGCAAGCGGGTTTGGGGAAGACAGAATGCTAGGTGGGCAGATGAGATTAAGAAGTTTGCGGGTATAAATTGGCAGCACCAAGCACAGGACCGAGTTGACTGGTGGAACATGGGGGAATCCTTTGTCCTGCAGTGGACATAGTCAGGCTGACGACGATGATGACGATTATGAATAAATCATAATATTTCGCGTGACCCTGCCGCAGTTGACGTCATCCCATAATTAGTATATTTTATAATTTTACAGTCATACGAACACTTCGGAGAATGAGTGATTCCGATCCGCGATGATCTTTTATGAAAAGTGCCCGATGTGATACAAGCGCGAAAATAAGTGTTTTAACCTGAGGTTGTGTGCTTAGACGAACGCGTGTTCGTGGTTTGACCGGAGGCAAGCTTTCAGCTCTAGTCAAAAAGCTGAATTGTACAACTTCATTATGAATCGGCTAACTTTTCTCCTGCATGTCGGCGTTACGCCTGCACTTTGAACACATGGTCAGGGAAAGGACAGGTGTGCGCAGTCAATTCCCCGTCTGCGTCTTCAAAGCGCATTCACATCAACGACATGCAGAACAAACTGGCCCAATCAAGTTTGCTGGCAAACTTGTCCTGCAGTTAATGCACTTTCTGTGTGTAAAGGCGCGGCCACTGTTAGAGGAGACAAGCAGCAGGGGGCCGTGCCTATCGGAACACGACGATGGATATTTCGCGCGGCGCCTATAGGCTACGTGAGCCATGTTACCTGCAGCAGTGGCCGCGCCTATACCTCCTGAACGCTATACATCGAGCTCCTTCATGTAGTGGCTAGACTTTGCCCTAAACACATGCTAAAGAATGTACCAGAAATAATAGAGCAGCAAACTCAAACACACCCCGAAAACACCGCCGGGACTGTTGAGAAGAAAAAAAAAAGCATTACCGAAAGTTGCGCACCAGGAGTCTTATTGGGTAGGCCGTTCGGCGCGAGCAAGTTTGTTTACGAACACTGAAACCATTCATTACTCACTAATAGCGCGCGTATTCTGAGTTAGCGTCGAGAAATGCTTGAATATAACTCGCTTATTCATGGGAACACCAACGTAATTTTACTATACTTTGCTTATAACTACTCAATGAGTTTTTACGTTTATTTTATTAGAATATTATCAGTTGAACGTCATGACGAGGGCCACATAATACTTCACTGTGGGCCGCATGTTGATGAACCCTGCAATAAAGCAAGAGGTAACGTGAATCGAGAGCCAACGTGAAGCGATCTCTCGATCTTCTCTTCTTGCTGTATTCCTGTTGTTGTTGTCGTTGTTGTTGTGACGTCGCCCACGTCTTCATCGAGAGAGACCTGATAATTTGTTTGTGCGGGTGTGACAATATGCTCGCCCCTCTAACTGTAAACTGATGCTTGCTATGAGAGTAATGGTGCATGAAACTACGATGCACAATCAGCCCAACATCACCACACACTGTTCCCTATTTTATGTAAACTAGAGGCTCTTTATATATAACAAATGAATAGGTTCGACACATTTAAAGATACAAGAGTCTGCCACGGCTGTGTAGTGGCTAAGTTGCTTGGCTTCTGGCCCGAAGGCCGTGTTCAATACCGGCCGCAGCGGTCACATTTGAGGCGAAATGGTATTCACCTTTTCATAAACGCCTCCCTGGGCACCGCCATAGCCCTCCTTGGGCTGTGCAAATTGGCGCGTCCCCTCGAAAATGCACTGACAACGCTGCGCGCTTAGCCTCTGTACTCCCGCGCACAGCCCATCATGGCGGTGTTTTTTTTCTCCTTCCTGTGAAAAGGTGTAT